GCTCTTGCTTCTGGGTCGCCCCTCTCTGAGGATCATCTCAGTCTCTCAGACACTTGGGCTCTTGCCTCCATTCCAGGATTGCGGTTTCAGGACTTTCCCTGCTCCGGGATCATTAGCTGGGAACAGGCTGAGCCTTGGTCATTGGATAGTGAGCAGTATTACTGTGTATCACTCATTTGTATATTTGTATATATTATTTTCAATATTATTGTAGTTATTAAATTGTTCTTATCTCAACCCACAAGTCTCGTTTCCCTTTACCCCTTTAATTCTGTCCCCCATCCCCGAAATGGGGGAGGCTGAGCGAGTGGCTGCTGTGTTGTTTGGCTGCCAGGGCTTCAAAACTTCGACAAAAAACGTACCTGTATTCTACTGAGTTTGAGAAAAAATAAACTTCAGTAGTCTTGACGATGAAATGGTGTAAGAAATATTGTTTAGGTAGCAGTGATTTATTTTACAAGATCAGCCAGCTCTTGAAGTCTTTTTGTCCAACATTTAAAAAAAAAGTAGCTTCTGTAATGAGGGATGTTCGCATCCTCTGATACAAACATTTACAACACTAAAATTGGGGCTGGTATTCTGTTAGGCATTCTGCTCTTTTCAGAATTACTGTTCAGCAAGCTCACCGTGATGTATACACCCCTTGGATACGAGGAAGGTTGGATACATGGTAGAAATTTTCCTATTCAAAGTTATGACACATACAGAGTTTTCATTTTGGGTAACTGAAAATATGATTTGGCTGAATATTCTTCTGAGCCAGGTTGTTTTATAAGTGAATTTAATAAGATTTGGGACAGAGTTTGCAGCACTAAGAAGCATGCCAGATATAACTTTTTAGTTACTCATAGCTGCAAGTTCACTAATAAAAGAATTAAAGTGAACTGTAAGTTAGCACCCATTTTTGCTGTCACTAGGAGCTTGTCAGGGCTAGAGCAGCATAGCCCTGTCCATATGTGAAAGTGCCAAGGAGAGGCAAGGTCAGTAGGAAGAAAATAATGGAAAAGGTGGCAAGACAGCAGTGAGTAAGCAGAGGGATTCACATCTTGGTGTTTCTGGATTTCTATAGCTTTCGTTTTGCTAGATGGGAGTCTTTTAAATTCATAGACACAGACCTGAGGGTATTACATGCTAAATTAGATTAGCTGTACATTTTTCTTGTACTCAGAAATAACAAGGATTTTATCATCAGGTCTTTGTTTCAGCCATTGTTAGAGGTATTCTGCATATTTTCATTGTTTTAGATCCCAAGTTCAAAACAAGTCCGCAGTCTTACTCTTGGGTTACTTGGTCTTGGATTCCTTGAACCAGATTCAAAAAGTGTTTGAAAAACTGTCAGTGGCACTGAACTCACCTTGCCAAGCTTTTTCTGTTGCAATTACGTACATGTTTATTAAACTGGCACTTCAGACAATGAATGGTTTCATTCTTGAAATAGAAGTCTTTATAAAGAACTTGAGCTCCTTCTTTGTTTTAAATGTTGTAATTTGTAATGTTGCAATAGAAAACAAATCAATGGATTCTTAATGTAAAGTGCTGGTGTACTGCTGGTGAAATGTTGGCCTGTTTGTGAATTCCTTTAAAAAAAAAAAATGCTGACCAAAATTAGATTTTATCAGTCAATAAAATAGGAGCCTCAGCAAGACTTGAGGGGGGTGATAGGATTTTCCTGTGGAGTTTTCCAACCAGTGGTTCCTATATATGCAAACCACTGAAAAGCAACATGTCTCACTGCCCCCGCTGCTTGTTGCAGAGGCTTCCCCAAGCAACGGGGAGCTGCCTGCATGTGTAGATACCATCTGTGACTGCCTGGAGCTGCGGAGTGGGAACTCTTTCACCACTGGCTCGAGGCATGACACAGACCCAGGGGTGAGTGAAGCAGCGAACCTGGGGTTGGAGTGATGCAGAATGCATAGGGGAACATGAGGAAGAGACCCTGCTAGAAGATGAGAACATCCTGGTGGTAACAGTTATAAGATGGTTAATAGCAGAGAGGGGTACGGGGGCACATCTGCTGTGCATACCTGCCTAGACAGAACCAAGAATCTCTGGTCACCCCTGGCAGCACCTTAGCAAACCGATGTGAGGAGTCGTTGGTCTGCAGCTGTGTGGCATACAGTGTGGGTACCCAAATGTATAGAAGCTCCAAGAGCAAATACATAGCACTTGAGATTAAGTAAGAATGAAACTAAATCTGTTAGTGTTGCAAGTTCTTTGCTGCTTTTTTTTTTCTGAAATAGTTAAGATGCTGTGCAGATTTGTCTGTTCCCATAAATGTTTTACTGCCTCTGATCCTCTGCAAATGAGAATTCAGCTGAGATTGAATGAAACCACCATGACCAAAGAAACTATTTGGAATTTGGTGGTTACTGGACTTTTTGTTTTGAGACTAGTTTTAAAATGCAGGCTGCATGATGAGCTTCTTACTTACTATATAGAAAGTACAAAATATTACTTTTCTGTCAATTAGAATTACAGTAGGTGGACATACAGCAAATATGGTTAAGTGAGCAGAAGTTAGTCACTGTATTTTGGAGGTTTATCAGTGTTACAGGGTAAATTTCCAGAAGTCTAATGGCTTTGTGCACTTTGAAGGGATTTACATTTCACATATTTCTTCACCTCTTGCATCACACGGTCTTGTCAGTCTGTGTCTTCTGATTTGGGAAAGGCACAATTGTGGCACTTACAGAGTTACAGCTTTGGAGTTCAGAGTCAGCTCTGGTGGAAATAGAACACTCAGGTCTTACTACTTCGTGATATATTCAAACACTTTTTAATAAAAAGGAGGGCCACCTTCTCTCATCCTGCCTACAATAAAGCAGTCCATCTGCAAAGGAGCTGCCTGCATGGATTTTTAGCTGTATACCTGCTGGAGCACTGTTCTAGAAATTCCTTGTGCTGATTACAAATCTCATTTTGACCCTGATGTTTTTCATGTCTCTCTGTTGCCATTTATTCTTCCAGTGTTGGTTTTTGCTTTAAATAGTTATTCGCTTCCGGACAAAGGAAAATCACTGAGGTCTTTTTGATCTTTAAGGTCCTTTCCAACCCAAAACACTCTATGATTCTATGACAATGTATCAATGAGAGCAATTGTGTCTTTTCTGTGTTCCTTCTGCAAAGCGAAGCAGCTGCTGTTCTCCCTGTGAGCCCCTCCGTGCTCACAGCAAAGCATTTTACCTTCCGAGCAGATTATGCAGCTTGGAGTGTGCGCTGTGCTTTAAAGTCCACCAGGATTCAGCCTCAGCGTGGCAGAGCTTACAGTCTAAGTATAGATCTAAGACACTTGTGGATGGAGCAAGAGAAGGAGTTAGGTTAACAGGATTAAAAGGCTGATGAAGTTTGCAGCCTGCTTAAGCTTGCACTGCTGTGCACGAACACAGGGGAGTTGTTTACGAGGGAGATGCTGAAACAGCACAGTGCAGGAGAACACGGTGGAGCCACGGGGCTCACGAAGGAGAGCAAATAGTGGAAAGTAGGCCTGGCCCTTTTTAATGTAGGGACTGGAAGAATAACCTGTTGGGGGCTGGGTGCCTGCAGCATGGGTCTATTTTACTCCTTTTATGTAAATAACTATCTAAAGGTGCTTCTATAATGCTCAAGATAGGGTTTGGGCTAGCTGCAATCCTGTCCAGTTTAGAAACAGGGCAGGTAGGCAACATGTTCAGATAACCCATGGGCTGTAAGGGTTGGCAGTGCTCTGAGAAACCCACCACAGAAGTACCTGGTGAGGAAGCAGCTCTGCTTTCCTCTTAGAAAAATGAACCTTGGCCCTGGTGACTGGTTCTGTTGCAGAACCTTTCGATGTCAGTGCCAGAGAGCCCCAAATTCTTTTATATCCCCCTGTTAGTGGACTGAGTGTTCAGCCTCTGGCTTAGAGAGAGGGTGGCCCAAACTTTTAATGCATTAAATACATATTTGAGCCTTTAAACAGTGTTTTAGAGTTCTTCCATACTGTGACTCCATTCGTGTAGGTTGTGGGGTTATTTTTTCTGTATCCGTATTTTCAGTGGCTTGCTCGCTCTATTGGTGAAGGGAGAGCAAGACATTTAAGTAATGGGGAAAACTGTGACGAAAGTTACACATTTGAATTTTCTAAGATCATTTAAAACTATCTCAGTGAGGAGCCGTCTCCTTTTTATCTCCTCTCCACCTTCAAGCCTTGCTTTGCCATCAGAAGAGGAGATTTTTAAATGCTTTGTGCCGCAGCACCATAAAATGTTACTATTGACTGGCATGATCTCCAGCCAAAACTTTGGTGGTTTTTGGACTAACCAACCAAACGTCTTCAACTATGGCCGTTCAGGGGCAAGCAGTGAAAATGCTGTCATGTGGCAGTGGAATCAGTTTTCTGATGCTGTTCAAGCCGTTCCAGGTGAGACTCGTTTCTCCTCCTTTAGGTCATCCTTCCAAGCAGACGAGGGAGAAGTCTCTTTGCAGAGGGGGAGCTTGTTGCCGGGCAATGAACCAAACCTTCAAAGCAAGCCCCGGCCACTGCCCTTGCGCTTCCCCGCCCGGCCTCACTCCCCTGCATCACCCACGCCTCGGAAGCGCCCCGCCTGATCCCACTCCGGCGCGAAGCCGCACGTGTGCCTCACCGGGAGGGGTGTCCCCCACGCCATGCGCGGGCGGATTTTAAACCAGGAATTGAAAAGACTAACGTCCGCCGCCATAACGGAAAAATACGGTGTTTCCGCCCGGTTTCGAACCGGGGACCTTTCGCGTGTTAGGCGAACGTGATAACCACTACACTACGGAAACTCGCCGTTAGAATAATAGTTTCTGCAGCGCCCCTTGACAGGGCGCCTGGAGCACGGCGGTGTGGACTGGAACGGTAGCCCCTCGGCCGGCGGGAGTCCCAGAGGAGGCCGAGGCCTTGGGGGTTGAGGCGGCTCTGGCGCAGCTCCCAGCGGCATAAATGCAGCCAGAGCCGCCTCCGCTGAAGCGGTCCCTCTGTGGGGACGGAAAAACACCCGGCACCACAAAATATCGCTACGCGTCCCTGGGTGGGCTCGAACCACCACCCTTTGGGTTAACAGCCGAACGCGCTAACCGATTGCGCCACAGAGACGCTGTGTCTACCACTGTCGCCGAACCACTCCTGATACCCACGGGGGAAGGGAACGGCCTGGGTGGGGGGCGGCGGCTGCGCGTCCCTGCGGGGAGCCTCGGCCTCTGCCCACGCACCCAGGGGGGCCTTTGTCACCCACGCTGCGGAACGGCGAGAGTTCCGCTCTGTGCTCCTGCTGCGGCTCCTGCAGCATTCGGCGGTGGTGGCGGTGGGTTGGGGTTCTGGTCACTGGCTCTGGCATCTGTTTGCTTTTTTAATCTGAAGAATATTCCTTCTCTTTTCTTTTCCCTGTTCTTTCTGTGGCCCTTCCCATAGGACCAAGGGAAACAGTGGACAAGCAGAAAAAAATAGGGTTTAAAGTTATGTCTGTTGGCAGGACAACTGCCAGCCGGAGCCTGACAGCTTCGTTTGAAGCCACGCACCAGTCAGTGAGCAAAAGCTCTGTGTGTATACGCCAAGGGCGAGGGAGACAAAAATGAGCATCAGCCTGTTACTTAATATATGGCCGAAGTATCCAACATCTTCCCTTCCTATTATTTCAATACTAAAAGGACTAATTGCAACCAGAGATTTGAGGAACAGAAGGCAAAATTCATCCCACACCATTCAAAGACCTGTGATAATTATCTGCAAGAGTTAATGGAAAGTGGAAACACTGACAGAAATGAGTGAGGGCAAAAGAAACATCTCAAAAGGAAGCAGAAGGGAAACTACTGCCCAGGCTGCCTCACTTCAGCTCTAAACAATCTATAAAATTAATTATTAAACAATAAATTTGCATCCACCTAGAAGGTAATAAGGTGATAACGACAGTGCAATTTGCCTTCAGGAATCCCAGATCCCAAAGATGGAAGAGAAAGGCTAGAGCAAGGAAGACATGCCCTTGAGGGATAAGGATCAGGTCAGGGAATACTTAAGCAACTTGGACATATATAAGTCCTTGGTCCCTGATGGGGTGCACCCACAAGTGCTGATGGAGCTGGAAGATGTAGTTGCAAGGCCACTCTCAATCATCTGTGATGGATCATGGTGACAGGGAGAAGTGCCCAAGGACTGGAGGAAAGCACATGTGACTCTCTCATGTTCAGGAAGGGCAAGGAGGAGGACCCAGGGAAATACAGGCTGGTCAGCTTCACCTTTATCCATGGGAAGATGATGGAGCAGCTAATCCTGGAAACCATCTCCAGGCACAGTAAGGACAAGGAAATCAGCAGTAATCAGCATGGCTTCATGCAGGGCAAGTCGTGCTTGACCAGCTTGATAAATTTCTATGATAAAGTGACTGGGCAGGCACTGGATATTGTCTACTTGGTCTTCACTAAGGCCTTTGACGCTGTGTCCCATAAGATCCTCACAGGGAAGCTATTGATGTATGGGTTGGATAAGCAGATGGTGAGGTGGATCGAAAACTGGCTGAACAGCTGGGCCCAGAGTATGGTGATCAGTGGCACGATCTAGTTGGAGGCCAGTAACTAGTGGTACACCCCAGGGGTGAATACTGGGTCCAGTCCTGTTTAACAGCTTAATTAGTGATTGTGGTGGGTTGACCATGGCTGGACACCAGGTGCTAACCAAAGCTGCTCTGTCAGTCCCCTCCTCAGCTGGACAGGAGAGAGAAAACACAATTAAAGGCTCATGGGATAAGGACAGGGAGGGATCACTCACCAATTACTGTCATGGGCAAAACAGACTCGACTTGGGAAAAAATTAATTTAATTTATTACCAATCAAACCAGATTAGGGCAATGAGAAAATAAAATCAAATCTTAAAACACCTTCCTCCCCCCCCTCCCCCACCTTCTTCACAGGCTTTACTTCTGAATTCTCTCCCTCCTCCCCCCAAGTGGTGCAGGGGGATGGGGAATGGGGGTTGCGGTCAGTCCATCACGTGTTGTCTCTGCTGCTCCTTCCTCCTCAGGGGAGGGCTCTTCACATTCTTCCCCTGCTCCAGTGTGGGGTCCCTCCCATGGGAGGCTGTCCTTCACTAACTTCTCCAACATGAGTCCTTCCCACAGGCTGCAGTTCTTCATGAAGTGCTCCAGTGTGGGTCCCCCGCAGGTTCACAGGTCCCGCCAGGAGCCTGCTCCAGCACAGGCTTCCCACAGGGACACAGACTCCTTCGGGTACCCACCTGCTCCAGCGTGGGGTCCTCCCCAGGCTGCAGGTGTATCTCTGCTTCCCCGTTACCCTCCATGGCTGCAGGGGCACAGCTGCCTCACCATGGGCTGCACCACGGGCTGCAGGGGAACCTCTGCTCTGGCGCCTGGAGCACCTCCTCCCCTCCTTCTACACTGACCTTGGTGTCTGCAGAGCTGTTTCTCTCACATGTTCTCACTCCTCCCTCTGGTTGCTGTCTTTGCTGTTGCATAGTAACGTTTTCCCTTTCTTAACTATGTTTTCACAGAGGTGCTACTGCCATCACTGACAGGCTCGGCCTTGGCCAGCAGCGGGTCCAT